AAAATCTCAGCCCCTCTGAGAGGAAAACAAGTCTTCTGGCTCAGTCCGACCAGTCGATCAGGTGGATGTTTGTGTCCCTGTGTGGGGGGCTGGGGGGGGCATAGTGGTGTGTGTGTGGGGGGGGGGCTCAGTTTTTTTTTACCCCCCCCCCTTGGGGGGTTGGGGGATGCTGCGGCTGGGTTTGGGGGGCGTCGGGGGGGAAGGGGGGGCCAGATGTTGGGCGGCAGAGGTGTCACCAGATGTGGGGTCTGATGTGAAGTCAAATATCTTCTTTTTTTTTTTTTTCTTTTTTTTTCAATTAATTCTGCATTTCAGACGAGCCGCTGTTAAAAAATGTTTTTTTTTTTAAGTGGACATTGTTGTCTGGGTGGTCACAGACCGGGTGCTTCTCTTAGTTCTATTGAACATATTTAAACTAAAACAGGTTCAGCTGGGCAGGCGGATATTGGGGGGTGTGGGGGGGGTCTGTAATGTGTTGTGAGTCGGCTGTTTTACGAGTAAGGGACCCATCGCCCCCGGTGTGTTCACAACAGAGGCGCTCTAATGTTCTAATGTGGCGTTTGTTTGCCGCCACGGCGCCCTCTGCTGGCCGGTGGAGCTGCATCTCCCCCACAGCAAACCGTTACAGCCTCCTCTGGAAAGCCTCATCACCCCCAAATCACGCCGCAGACGCCGAGACATCTTCTAAACAGATACTCAAACAAAAACTCCTGCTAGCCATTAACTCATTGACTGGCAGCCATTTTCAGAACAGAGTCCCATACTGCCAGAGTTTTTCGAGCATTTTGACTGATTTTTCAAGAGCCACAGAATAGTTTGTGCTATGACTATGTAAACACCGAACACACCAAAAGAAAGAGTAGACTCTCTTCTTTCATCAGGAAAAAAATTTCTTCTTCCACTTGCGTCTTACCGGCGCCATTTTTCGCATAGCGAACCGTTACCTTTTTCTTATTTGCCTACAGTCTATGCTCATCTCCCATCAAAAGTGGCACAGCTACCTAGAGGGTCAATTTGTTAGTACATACTCTGTCTAGAAGCCGATATTTACGGAAAAACTTTAGCTGATCGTCCCCCAGCCACTCTCGTTGAAAAACATAAAAGACGTCTATAGACGTCTTTGGCAGCCAATGGGTTAAGGCCAAGAATTTTGGTTTTGTGTAGAGGTTCAACAACAACAACAACAAAAATAAGTTTTAAAAAAGGAAAAAAGAACATGTTTACTGTTGTGTAATATTTACCTAGCTCCATTTTGGTAGATTTGTGAACAGAAGAGAAACGGTTATTACCTCCAATCACAAGAACAGCCCTAATGTGACAGACCACACAGATCCAACACATCCAGACACCAACATCTAACTAACTAACATCATCCATCAGCCCAAAGCTCACAGGCCCCCACTTAAGGGTTAAGGGAATATATAATAATATATAAGCAGAATATTACCCACCCGCAAAGCAAGCAGTCACTGGGGGTTATTCTGTCTGAAAATGAAGGCAAACGGCCTTAAAAGTTGCCTGAAAGTCTGAATTTTGGGCATAATAGAAAAAGAGATAGGCCGAATGAGTGTTTGGACAATTAATGGTCTGGTTGAAATAGATTTAAGATGCACTTTTCTGTTGGAGAAACGCATTTAAAAATGCATAGTCAGGTGTAATCTTCATGATTTTTAACCCGAAATTTCTCTGGTTACATCTCTTAATCACAGACGACCGACTTTACGTCCTTCTAGAAGTCAAATACATTTTTTTTTTTTTTTTTTATTAAAATAGGAATTTATTTCTGCAGTTCAGACACTTCAGACGAGCCGCTGTTAAAAAGAAAAGTGGGCATCGTTTTCTGGGTGTTTTTTGTGTGGATCGCTCACTAACTGTCAGCTTGTCTTAGTTCTATTGAACATTTTTAAACTAAAACAGGTTCAGTCACATTATCCATCATTTTGATCTCTCGCTGAGAAGGAAATATGGAGTATATTTAAGGACAGCTCTGACATCAAGCAAAATATTAACTTTCCATTGTTCTGTTTTTTTTTATGTGTTCACCAGATAGCGCTGCTTTTTGCCATCAAAGCTTCTGTTTTTCACAGTTTTCTTAAGTAAAAAAAGTCAATCTTTGACCGCTTTAATGTAATAATGAAAATAATAATCAAAGAAACCCCCAAAAAAGATTTTACATTTAAAAAACAAACAAAAACAAACAGTGAATCTTTATAAGCATACTGGTCTTTATTAAATTATTTAAATTATTATTAAATAAAAGAACCATTAACATCTCAGAATGAACTAGTTTTTAAAGATTGAGTTGTGTAAACTGAAAAAAAATTGTACTTTTGGATATTTTTCCTGTGTTTTTGTGGGGGGTTCGTAAACATTATTTGTTGTTCTGTGGGTTGCTAAAGGCCCTCCGAGTGGTTAATGGTTCCTGAAAAGGTCCTGGGCTACCTGAACCCAGCAGAGCTACTAATGGACCCTAAAACACTTTCATTTAAAATGTTAACCAGCTGCTTTCTGCAGTTTTAGTCCAATCCGACGCATCTGATCTAATTTTCTCTTTTTAAAAACATTACTGTGTAAAGTGTGGTCTCCCCCCGTAAACTGACTCTTTTTAGCCTCTCTTTTGAATGTTCAGGGCTTCCAGACTTGCCTTTCTCTAACTGGAGGGTTTCTTGTGTGTGCAGGTGACCTTCCGGACGAGGATCTACCACTGCAACAT